ACATCATACAAGGCTAAGCAACACATGAGTACATCAGACGAGGTTTTGCAACGCGTGATCACATCATACAAGGCTACGCAACGCGTGATTATGTCATACGAGTCTACGCAATGCGTGATTACGTCAGACGAGGCTACGCAATGCGTGATTATGTCAGACGAGGCTAGGTTGCTGCAGATGTATTTAAGTTAAAAAATGTGATCGAATTTACTTTGTTCCCTGATTTTATGACATGCAAGCTGGAAAATATGGAGCCCGCAAGGGGACTTGGGGTAGTTTTTTTCTTTTGCGTTCCCACGCAATACTTTTGCGTTACCTCGCAATACTTTTGCGTTTCCACGCAATACCTTTGCGTTCCCTCGCAAAACTTTTACATTACCATGCAATACCTTTGCGTTACCTCGCAATACTTTTGTTGCATTACCACGCAATACCTTTGCATTACCTCGCAATACTTTTGCGTTCCGACGCAATACTTTTGCGTAATTTTGCAATACTTTTGCGTTACCACGAAATACCTTTGTGTTACCTCACAATACTTTTGTGTTTCCACGCAATACTTTTGCCTTACCTCGCAATATTGTTTTGCGTTCCCATGCAAAAGTTTGATTTGTATGTGAACTGAATTAAATCAGACTTTTATTTTGAAATGTCCGGTTACCAAAACAGGATGTGTCGCCACAAGTTCTTGAAATTGACTTTGATGTTGCGTGGCTGCACTGTGTTATAATATCGACATATGACATACTTCCATGCGTGTTTGTGTGATATATTCATTCTGAAGATGAATTAAAGCAGTAGGCTAACTCGCTAATGGTGAACATGTGAGTTTGTTAATAAACCGGCAGGCACAACAGTGATAAACTACTTTTGCGAGGGAATGCAATACTTTTGCGTGGGAACACAAAAAGAAAAAAAATCCCCCATGTCCCCTCGTGGGCTCAGTAGGAAAAAGCAAGTTTATTTGTTTGCTTGAAAAGATATTTGTCTTATTTCTTAAAGTGAGATTTCACTTTTTTGATACTGTTTTTATTTTCAGACCAACTGTATAAGTGAAATCCTCTGAACTGGTCAGGTTGATTGTAAAAATCTTTGAAGACAGGTTTGATGTGTTGAAAGTCTGAAAGTATGAACTGACATTTTGTGTTTTCATAGGTTTTGTCTGATGTCCCTGCTTTCATTGCGTTGAGTTTTGTCGTTTTCACGTAAAGCTTGATCAGGTGTCTTTGTCCTCAGTCTGTCTTTATTTCCTGTTATCTTAACAATCAACATATCCATGTCACAGGCTAAGAACCATTAGATTGTATCTCTTTTATATTGGGGATAAAAGAACAGTTTGGTTTTTGTGCACCAAATGTGACCTTTTTGTCAAGATCATGAATATTTGAGCAAAAATACTTTGTAACCATTTCATTACTTTTTTCTGGGTCTTTCATCACAATAACTAGCTCTCTTGTCTTCTCTCCTGCTTTCCTCCTTTTTTTCTGTTTTCTATCCCTCTGGTTTTCATTTTCTTGGCAATTCTTAGATTCGGATAAACAGGGAAGTAAGTATCTTGCTTCTCTTCTCTTTGCATATTGTCCCCATCTTCATTCTTCCCCTCTCTCCTTGGCTTCATTCCAGCATCATCTCTTTTTGCCCTTGTCTCCTTTGAGCTTCTATGCCTGTTCACTTCCAGCTCACATTTTTCTCTTTGTGAGTCTGACTGCAGCAGTCTCTGTGTCCTTTCACCCAGTCTTGATGAAAGAGGGCAGGGTGAAAACAAAAACAGTGAGCTTTTAGTGGGAGAACGTGTCAGGTCAGGTCAGAGTTCTCGTTCATAGGTTTGATCATTCAGGAAGTGTTGCAAATATATTCAGCGTTAATGGATGGGGGAGAAATGATGCACATGTAAACATGAGTTTTCCAGGTCTATAGCTATTATTTATCTAGAAATATCAGAACAGTAAGCGCCAGGTGAAACCAGATGGTAACACAAGTTTGCATAATTCAACTCATTCTTATTCCTGCGGCGTTTAATCAAACCGTTTTGTCAAAAATGAAGCGTAGACGTGCAAACAGATTACAGTCCTTTGGTTCCAGTGACTCACCTGACAGGTAATATTAAACACCAACACGATCTTATGAAGAAGATATTTATCATTCAGCTGTGAGGAGGAGCAAAGGAAAGTTTTAGGATACAAAACTTTTTCTCTGGGTTTCACCTGCCGGTACACTCACTGTGTGTTTAGCTTCAACACAGTGCTTAGAACTAAACTGGTTTGGAGAAACTAAAATTGTGGTAAAACTTTTAACTGTACTCCTTCACCGAGGGCAATAAAACATTAAAAAATAAATAAATATACTCAGTACTTATGCTTGTGGAACTGAGAGGAAAGGGTCTTAAAAGAATAACAATTTATTAAAAACGAGCTGGACTAATACCAAATCATAATTACTTGTTTTTGTGTCCTGATGTGTCTCAGTAATCCAGTAAAAAAAATCAAAAAGAAAAATTAAGTAGGTCCTCTGGATGGGTTCTTTTTTTAGTGAAACGTTTCGTCTCTCCTCCAAGAGACTTCTTCAGTCTGAGAGTTTCAGGTGAACTCAGCCTTATAAGCTCCGCCTCCACATGGTGGACAAACAGGTAAGTCACATGCAAAGAGGGCCATCACCTAACAATAGGATTAATTAGCTCAATTTCATCATATGCAAAGAGACTTTCAAGCCTATAGTTAAGCGATGGCCCTCTTTTGCATGTGACTAAATAGAGCGAATCAAGCCTATTGTTAGGCGATGGCCCTCTTTTGCTGAGTTCACCTGAAACTCATCAGACTGAAGAAGTCTCTTGGAGGAGAGACGAAATGCTTCACTAAAGAAGAACTCATCCAGAGCACCTACTTAATTTTTCTTTTTGATACTTGACTTTTTTTGGCTAGCACCATCATGCTCACTTGAAACAAACCTCTAAACCCCATGTTGATGTTTAGCTAGAGTAGAGTAGGGCCTACAACTGGGCTGGAACTATTAGCAACATGTTGGTGGATAACATTCACGATGCAGTCCCCAAAGTGTCTCAAAAGGTTTCCTAGTATCTCATGAGTTGCAGAGGCTTGCAGTCTTCTCACTAAATGTTTGAACATTTTCAAAAAGAAAATGTATGAAGTTATCTTTTCAAAGTAGTTTTTGCATCTCAAATCCTGTGAGGTTTGGTTTCTTGGGGTGTATTCACACCAGGAAAGGTCCACTTGTTTGGTCCGAACCAGTAATAGACTTTTTTATTTGATTTGGTGCTGTTTTCATTCACATTCTGCTTTGTTTGCAAGCAGACGATAATTTATAAACAAAGCCACTCGGGTGATGGCCATTACTCCTACTGGACATAAATGACGGGGGCGGGATGGGGCCGGGACAGAGCACAGGCCCAGAAATAAAGATGGTGCTGTTAATACAACTGCAACAACATTTAGAATATCAATATCAGCTCATTCAGCGGAGGATTCGCGATGATTTACTTCTAATTTTGGGACGGAACCCAAAGGAGACGAGATGCTCTATGTTCCCACAACGATTCATTGTTTGTAGCGCAGTGGTAGCATTAGCAACACTGAAGGGCTGATTGTTACCATTTTGTTTAGCAACGGTGGCTTGTGAAGTCAAAAAAGGATGTATGTTTTCTGCAGTTGTTTCGGTTCGAGGCTGGTCTGTATTCACACCAGAAGTGAACCGCACCAAAGTTCATTTGGAAGTGGACAGAGACAACCTGAAAAGTGGGTCTTGGTCTGGTTATTTACCTGCATAAATGGTGCGGACCAACAGGCCAAACAAACTCTGGTTTGTTTAAAGTGAACCAAATGTGTCAGATGTGAATACACCCTGAAACTTCAGAGAGCTAGAGCTGTTTTTTTATATCTTCACATGCACACTCCTTATGACACACTTTAACCACACAAATAATAAATATTAGTTGTTAAAATTGGTCCAAGTTTGCTTTAAATGTGTATTCAATGTGAGGACAGCTGGGGAAATGGCTACAAAGCAAACTGAGACAGAGACAGTGTAGCAATAAAATAATGTCCAAGGCCTAGAACAGTGTTTCTCAAACCTTTTAGCTTCTGACTCATTAACTAATAATGACAAATGTGTGTGGCCCCATTTTCTGTCAGTTTAAATATTTAAATGATTCTAGTATATGAGAACACAAACAGTCTGAAGAGCCACATTATTTTATACATTCATGACTTCTGGTTTTATTTTGTAACAATTGTGGTAAAAAAAAACGTACCATGAACCATGAATCTTATCCAAAGTTGATATCTGGAGATTATCTAGGCACCACTTATTTAATCTTGGTTGAGCCACAAGCCATTGTATGCATGTATGCAGTTTTGCACACAAAAACACAAAAACAAAAAACAAAACAGGTAGTCACTTTCAAAAACAGGTAGTACTTAATGCAGCCTCATGGCTAACCCCTAATTTACACTACATGCGTTCCGTCTCTGCTCCGCTCCGGTCCGACCTCCACAGCAAATACGCACCCATTTTAATCATTGAGAGTGTTTACACTGGCTGCACATGGCGACGGTGAGCGGACGACGATCCCGCAAAATTAGAACAGATCCTATTGCTGCCGGAGCTGCGCCAGAGTCAATTTTTAAAGATTACGTTGCACCAACAGGAAAAGAAACGAGCACAGCATCCGTATTTTCAAAATAAGACACTTTTAGGCGAGATAATTTGTCGTAATAATGTCAAAATTGCAGCTATATTAATAAATATACGGATATATTTCTACACAAATGCTGTCAGAATGTATCGTTCTGTTTGGAAAGCAGATAGAAACATGTACCATGAAGCATATGTGTACACACACGATACACGTGGATTTTATTTTGAAATCAGAAGTTTCAGAAAGACGACAGTGAGACAATTTCAACATAGATACCAAAAGCCTTTACATCAATGTTTTCAGCTGTTTGGAGTTCGTCTTTCACTGAATTAATTATTTTTTGCTCTGACTTCCACACTTATCACTGAATTTATCGCGCGATCTCCTTCCTGCACGTCTGTCGGACCGGAGCGGAGGTAGTGTAAACTGGACTTGAAAAGCACAGCTGCGACCTGCGCAGCGGAGCGGAGCAGAGGCTGTATAAACTGAGACACAAACGAACAGCTGCGACCTGCGCACCGCAGCGCAGCGGAGCAGAGCAGAGCCGTAACGCATGTAGTGTAAATTAGGGGTAACACTCCCTCAATGAGACTAAAACTGAAACTTTACTCATTGTCTCTCAATTTGAACGTTCAGCTACTTTCCACAGGCGGCCAAATTGGATCTCGAGGTTGGGGCTGGTCAGGGAATTCAGACTTTCCAGATGGAAATTCTAAATTTAGGGAGCATTCCAGTTGATATTTGCTCAACTTGCACATTCCATCTTCTGTGTACAAATGGGATACACCATTACACATATTCAAAGTTTTAAACCTTTGCTCGCATCCCAAATCAGTTTAACACAAGAATTGTTGCTGAACTGCTGAACAGGTCTTGTGTGGGATTGTCCTCTGACTCACCCAGAATGGTGATGAGTTTTAGATGGGTACTGAATGTGGATGTGTCTAAAATGAGTGTCTCATTTGGAGCCCACTTAAAGCAACCTGACAGGAAAACTCAGGTGGCCCCACACGTACGAGCTGGACTGTCAGGACAATCACAGCTCGCTCACCTCTGACTCACCTCTGAGTGGGCAGGCTCTCTCTCTACTCTCCAAATGCACTCAGTCCTGCAGGATCTCATAGCATGAAATAATATACTGCATGTATTTTTCCTCTCTATTCTGGAGGTGCAAATGTTTTCATAAAGACTGATGCAGACAGCTTCTACAAAGTGAAACATGTTCTGAACCTGTTGRATCATTAAATTTAAAAGAACTTAGTCTCCTACATATTTACAGATGGCCAGCTGATGCACAGTCATGGTCATCAACAATGGTGGGCACCAGCCCGCTAAAGCACAAATCCGCTAATTGCGGACCTAAATATTTTCGTAAGCGCTTTAGAAATTGCGGAGCTAATTTTTGGATTAGCGCTGCCCACCACTGGTCATCAACAATTATTGGATGATGGATGTTTTAGAAAAGAAATTTGTGAAAGTGTTCATGTTTTTCATCTACTCAAACAAAGGGACAGGAAGGTTTTAGAGGTTTAAAACAACAGAAATGATTCAGGAAACTGAGACACATTTAATACAGCTGAGCTAGAGGGAAGCTGACAGCTCAGCTGCTGCTGACGTTTCCTGAAGAATATTAAACTGAACCATTAAATTTTTAACTTTAGCAAGCAAAACAGAGGCTAAAAGGCCAAAACACAGGCCAAAAATGATCAGCACTAGCTTCAACCAGGGAAACACAAGTTAAAAACTAAATCAGAGAAAAATGATCTAGGATCTCAAAGAAGCTAAATGTTATCTAAAACCATGAAACAACTAAACTCAATAGAAAATCAACAGAAAACATACTAAAGATAAAACAGAGGATTCTGATGTTATCAGTCCATGAAATGAACGTTATTAGGTGTTATCAGTCCCATACAATGGCTTCAGAAGGTCCCTACTGTGCCTTCTAGGGTTCAGACATTTCTGACAGTGCCCCCTAGTGGGTTAATATAGCAACAACAATGAATGTGTAAATAACCAAAAGATATTGTAATAAATTATTTGTGCCAGTGTCTGTCTCAAACCCTTGTCTCCCACTCTCTGATCTGACTCTCTACCCATTGCCCTATTGGAAGGCCACAACATACAACTGTTGGAGGGCGGGGTCTTTGGCGCTAACCATGTCGTTTGCTCTAAAGTTAACCTTTGTGGCTTTAAGCCTCATATTAACCAGTTTTTTATGCCTCATAATAACCAGATAGTGGTTTTATGTCTCATATTAACCAGATAGTGGTTTTATGTCTCATATTAACCAGATAGTCGTTTTATGTCTCATATTAACCAGATAGTAGTTTTATGCCTCATATTAACCAGATAGTGGTTTTATACCTCATATTAACCAGATAGTGGTTTTATACCTCATGTTAACCAGCACCGGCGGGACATTCTGAAGCCATTCTAGGGAACTGATAACCCCTAATAACGCCCATTTAATGGATGATAACATCCAAAGCGGGTGCGATAAAATCAGCAAAATTATGGCTAAAATTAGCAAGCCCGTAGCTGAAAACTAAAATGAGCAAAACTAACGCTAAAACTCGCAGCACAAAAGCCACATGTTAAAATTAGCTGAACTGTTGCTAAAGCTAAGATTAGCAAAATGAATGCTAAAACTTAAATCAGCTAAATATCTCCAGTAATTTTCCGTAGCGTGAGTAAGTTTTGTATGAGGAGTGTTTTGTCTGAACTGGCTTCGTTCAGAAGATAAAGAGCTGAGTAAAAGACCGAGCATCTTCCTTTCAGATAACTCACCTGATGTCCTCCTGTACTCAGAATGAATAGAATTCTCTGGAAGTCCTAAAATGATTGTGGTTCTGGAATCCTGCGGCTGCAGGGTCGAGCTCAGGTTGCATCAGAAAGGTTCACGGTTCACTGTGACAGCCCCAGCTGACGGGAGCAGCCAGCTCAGGTCACACTTTTCTCATTAACCTGCAGAAGTTGGACAAAGACAAATTTCTGAAAGCATTGAAGTAAAAAGCATTCCACGTTTCTGAAATGTGAAGTTTTGCTTTTCTTTTTTAGTTCGATTTATTGTGAATTCTCCAAGCTTTTTATTTCTGCTGTTAGAAAATATCCTGGCCAAGATGACAGACAGAGAACTGGTCAGAGGCTCATGGGAATAAGGATCCCTGCACTCTTCCATTGTGATGCCCATCCATCTCAGCTTCTTTCCCCAGCATGCCAGTTAAGAAATGGAATTTGTGTTGCTGCCTGGCAGAGCTGGGCATATGGGGGTGGTTGTGTTGGTGTGTGTGTGTGTGTGCGTGCGCAGTGTTTATATAAATGTTGACCGAATACAACAGTTGAAATCTCTTTAGCCATGACTGATGAGAAGGCAGCCCAGTCTGGATTGTAAGGATCCATCTTTGCACTCAGAGAGCCAGGGTGCCACTAATAGCCCCCCAGGCCTCACACACTGTATGATAAGAGGAGGAAGGCTGCAGCAGAGCAGAGAGGAGACAGTCCCATCAGTCAGCGTCACTCAGGTAGAATTACTCCTCCGGCTCTGGATCCCTCACTTGTCAGGGGAGCTTTGATCAGCCACCCCGGCTGCATGCAGAGCGCCGTATGAAGGGCTGACTTTGAAATGTAGCTCTGTGTCTGTGCACGTAGCCACCTGGCTCTGAGGAAAACCGCAATTAAAAGCCTGGCGTTCTCTCAGGTAACGCATATTGTCTGCTGCCGTTCATGCAGGGGTTTTAAGGTGATTTTAGGATGAGAAAGGACAAAGTTGCAGACATTTGGGTCGAACCTTGTAAAGGCATTATGTGAGATCTTGTGATAGGATGTGATGGAAATGACTCGACAACTGCAGCACAGAGTTTCAGCTCGGTTATTGGTGTTTTTGTTTTTGTCACTTAGCTTTTTTTATTTATCACTTAGCTGTGTCGTCCATCTTGAACTGGATGGTGATGAGTTGTAGACAAACATCCAGTCGCGTTCATGAGATGTTCTGCTACAAGAACAATAATATTGCAAAAATTCTGACTAAAGATATAGAATAGAATAGAATAGAATAGAATAGAATAGAATAGAATAGAATAGAATAGCCTTTATTATCCTGCAGTGAGGAAATTCAGGTGTCACAGCAGCATCAGTACAGAGGTTCACACACTAGTTACTTTACAAACCAGGGTTCCTACAGTTTAAGGCAAATTAACCTTTTAAGACTTTTTAATGCCAAGTGAAATTAAATTTAAGACCAACTTCATAATAAACACAAATGACAAAAAATAAAAAAATAAAAACTGTGCCAGATACTCATAAATCAAATTATTCTTGGTTGAAGTATTCAAATATTTCTAATAGACCAATTGTTTTTATCCATATCTACCTATAGCAGAAACATCCTTAGCAGTCAGTTTTATACTTAATTTAATTTCTGTAAATCCTCTAACTACATCAAATTTGGAATAATAGGACCCACAGTGGGGTCTTAACCCCAGTTTGCTGTAGATAAAACCTTAAAGTGCCTGTGACATCAATTTTTTGTAATGTCGTGGTATGAAGGCAGAAACACATTGGAATAATGCCAGAAAAGTCTGCATGTATGGTCGTAACAAATGATTTAATTCTGAGCAACAAACAAACAGGACTCAATCAGGAAGTTCCCGTTGGCTCATTGCTGACACGTCAGCGGACACAGCCAATAATATACACCATGATAACATCATATGACGTGCTTATAACCAATCACAGATCGCCCCATGTACTCTCCAGCCTATCACAGGGCTCCCAGCACAAAGAGTGTCTTATCAAACAAGAGAGTTCAGTCCGTTGCGGAGTCCTGTTGTCTGGACAAACAGATTAACATTGACCATGTGACACAGATAGATAATTAGTCCATAACAGTAAGAAAAGTGATGCATTTTTGGAAAGACAACTTTATTAACATATTACAAAAGAAATGTCACGTTGCTCAGATGAACAGTTGAGAAATTTCCATGTGAAATAACAGGAAGTGATGTCAAAGGGGAATGTCTGCATATGAATATTTAAAATAATAAACATTACCAATTATGCTAATATTTGAGATGAATTACAATCATCCTATTTATAATGTGTTCATAGGTTTAAGACTTCTGAAAGATTGATTTAAGGCTAATTAAGGCCTTATTTTTGGATTGATGAATTCAATGCCCTTTAAGACTTTTTAAGGATCTGCAAGAACCCAGCGAACTGTAGACAGCACACACAAAACAAAATGAACACTGACTAGCCATGATACAACTACTAATAATAAAAATATAACATGAAGAATTGTGCAAGAATAGAAAAAAAGTGTTTTGTTTCAGAATTTGACATTAGGAATCAGAAATTCCCTGTTTTCAGTGCAAAACAATCTCAACAGACCAATAACTGTAAATTGAAGTATCACAATACGGTACAAGGATGTAGCAACCGCTGGTTGAATAATAGTCTTAATTTTGGCCCTCATTCCACACCATACAGTGTGAGGGGTTCCCCATGGAGCTCGGGTCGGTGCGTCTCAGGAGCTGTGAAACTGAATGTCAAACAACCACGTGACCATGGGTCGACTGTTCGGCTAAAGATGGACTATGTGAAGACCTTAAGTTTTCAGAGTTTGGGTCAGGAGTGACTCTCAGCTAATACCACAAGATAAAAGCTTGTTTTATTTAAAATCAAATAACTTGTGTTGCTTACCTGCAGCAACCATACTGAACTGTTTATCATTTGTAAATGCACATCTAATCATTTGTTTCTGACAGCGTCATTTCAATTTGTCCACTGGCTAATGAAATATTTTGCTAAAACAACCAAATGAATGCCATTTCTGTAAGAAAGTGTGGATCTTCATTTACAGAAATGATGGAATCAGAGTTCCGGTCCTACATTAGTAACTCCCATCTTCTCCTGTCTGTTCCACAGGGTTACCAGAGATCCAACCACTTCATTGCCACTCAAGGTGAGTGCTCATTGTGTGCGCCTTTTTTACCATTGAACCAGGCTGACTTTGCTGGTTGGTTAAGAATTCAGCAAACGTATTTAAACAGCTTGGGCTGCGTCACCATCACATCTGGATTTCCACTGCAAACAGTCACTTTCCCAAAAGTGCTGGAAGCGCTCCCACAAGGACCACCTGTAACTGTCAGACACTGCATTGCTGCCGACTGTCGGGTGTGAAGTCGTCTTCCATCTGCATGTGTGGCGTGGCACCTCTCTGATGTTGAGTTGATGCTCCACATCTGCCGTGTTCCCCTGAGCAGCACCCAAAGAGAAAGAGACAGGAAGAAGGAGAGCAAGACGTTCTCCTTTATCCTCCGCCGCTCTGATCCTGTTTACTCACTGAACGTGTTTTTCACTCCGTAATCCCCCTCTGATTCCTCCCAGCTTACTTTGGTCTCAGTTCTGTCGCTCCTCAAACGTAGCGACAGCAGAGGATGCTGTGTCTCGTTCACATTTTGCTGTCTTTGCACACATGGAGCGCAGGGAGGTTCCTCTGGAAAACAAGAGCTGCAGCAGGCCTTTTCATGTCAGAGGGACATTTTAATTTGAGTTAAAGTAGTTCCAGATTTTAAAACAAGTTTTTTTTCTTTTTGTGATGGTCAGGGATTGAGAAAAAAAAATCAAAATGTTCATAACTAGAATTTACTTTTCTAAGCTCTGAGAGTTTGCGTCACTGTAGCTGTGTTTCCATTCACCATGAAAATGTGCAAATTATAATTTCAAAAATAAATTTGCTCAATGAAAACACGTCAATTTCGAAAAAAATTACGTTTTTCGACAATCTTTTTGCGCTAGGATGAGGTGGTGTTTCGGCCGTATCGAAATTGGTGTTTTTTGCAAAACTGCAATGGAAACACTTTTTTCACATCACAGGAGTCACGTGATCAACAACCGTCTGTTTCTACTGGTGAAAAAGACGATGATGAAGAAGCTAACAGGAAGTAGAAATATTAGGAATATCACAGAAGTAGTATAAAATAGTAAACTCACTCTATAGGCTATATTGCCTTATGTGCCTTGTGTGTATTAACTACAAACAAACAAGCTAACCTGAGGTCCTCCATCCATATTTTCAGTAACAGGCTGAGTCATTTTTGTGTTCCCCTCTCTGTCATGTGG